TCTGTAAGTTGTGACCTTCAACCTTTCAACCCGGCTGCCAAGTGCATGACAACAGTCCACATGTTTTCGCTCAAGTGCATAACGTTCCCACTTTCGAAAAGTGGCCCAAGCCTATGTGTGCAAGTGCCCACAAAGCGCCACGTCAAGATCTCTAGTAAGCTTGTAATTAAAAGAAGCAATATTGTTGGAGATGCGCAGCGGTTAACTTTGATATAGTATGCTCTTAATTTTGGGAGAATATCAATATTTAATGACGTTTTTTCATTGAGTAGTGTTACAGGGCTTGCCCGTTTAACGCTGTTTTTTTGTGTTTTAGTGTCGTGCAGCGATCCTTACTTTCACATACATACACACAAGTCCCTTGCTATGGATTTGTTTAGTCTAGTATAGTGGTCTAACACCTGCCTTAAGATGCCTTTCTTGTTAGATAACTTTTGTGAATTTTATTTTCATAGATTTGCTGTGTTGTGCTTTTGTGAAGTGTAGCAACTCATTATTTCACGTATATATACCCCCATGGTTAGTATGGCTCAGTGTAGAAAATCCAGGTTATTTATTATAATACAGTATATAATTATATTGCCTCTTTCCACCTTGGAGGTTATTCTGCTCGAGAAAGCCAAATTATGATGGTTACAGATCTGCAGTTGACAAATAACTGTGTTGCCTACTGTTGACTAACAGCATTTCCATGAAGGTACTTTGCAAACTCACTGGCTATCAACAAAAATTCGTTCATGAAGCCATCTATATATATGTAAACACAGACACAATTTCAACCAAGAAGATGGGTTCAAACTGAGCAATCATTGGAAGGACGTTATTAACCAGTTTAAGTCATAACTGGTTGTGGTGTTCCCAGCCTACCACCTTCCGATGTTAGTTGTTATTTTTGGCTCTGATTTTTTTACATTAACAGATTAAATTTCTCACCAACACAGCTACCTCGAACGCCATCCTCAAGGCTGCTGCTTCACGATCTTGTACTAACATGCTAATCTCTTACATTAACATAGCCACCTTGGCACGCTCACTGTGGAGGATGCTCGGCGATCTTCCATGAACATGCTAATCTCTTACATTAACAAAGTCACCTTGGCGCACTTGCCGTGGAGGATGCTCGGTGGTCTTGCATTGACATGCTAATTTTTGCCTGGCAGCCCTTTGATTGGTGGAAAGCCCACCACCGCAGCAGTCGCTGCCCACCACTTACATTGCCATTGGCTGCTGACATGTGGGCTATGCCCATTTCAAACCTTTATAAGCAGTTTTCTTTAGAAGCTAACCCCCCTTTTCCTGATGACGACCGCTTGTGTTGCGATCGAAATGCCGTAGTTTTCTGTTATTTTGTTATTTTCTTTTAACCTATCTACGTGACTTTACCGAAAGACCCAAAGAATATGAATATAGCATTTCCACCCTGAACCACCACCCCACAAACCAGAGGAAAAATGATAAAAGGCAATATTTGTGTGTCTTTACTTCACAGTGCATATTGCGTTTTGAAGGATTGTAAGACTGTTTGAATAATCAATTATTTGTTGATGCTGCTTTGGCAGCATGGCAAAAGGACTATAAGCAAACATTCTCAACACGTTGGTAAATTACATTTCCTTAAGTGAGTATATAATAACCGACGTTTCGGTTAATGACCTTTACAGCACATTTGCCAGAGAGATTTAAGTCTAACCAGGCCCCATGATGTTAAGTGCAGTCTCCAAACCTTATTAATTCTCTCTGGTCTCTCAATTTATGTGCCATGATGAATGGCCATTGCCAAAAATGTTTCCTATTATATTAAAAAAATAATTTTCTTTTAAAGCAGTGTTATTCATGAAATGCCAATTTTTCAGAAGAGTAAGATATATGTTATGGCATTTAAAAAATACAAGTTTCTTAGTTCATTACTTTAAGATGCGACATCTATGTAATACACTGCCTTGCTGCACAACAGCATTGCGATTTTGGAACATTTCTCAAAAGCGAAATTCTTAAATGAGCATGCCGCAGGGCTCATCTGTTCGGAACCCTACGAAGCCACCGGTGTGAAGTCCACACTTGTATGATGGGGCTAGTCTCTTCATAAGAATAACAATGTTGATATTTCACAAAATGGTACTCCTTTTATTGACCTTGGAGGTATGACATGAGTCAACCCATAGATGAGCTTTGAACTGATTGAAAATGTTTAGTGTCTGAAATACTGAAATTATTATTGTTACAGCCTGCCAGATAGCAGTGTAGTTGTGAAAACCCATATTATTTTCATAGGTGGGCTGACTGCATAGTATATGCACAATGAAACGTACATGCCAAACATTGTTCGAGACAAAAAGTAATGCCAGCCAAAGCACTACTACTGTGGAGCAGATTCGTGTTGCCAGTGTTGGTTCAAGAGACATAGCTAGAGGGAGTTAAGGAAGCGTGTGATTGCTAACCCTCCTTCCCCCTCTAAAGAAGAACTCTAAACAATTGGCTGGAGTGCTGTTATGAAACTAGGTACTGTATTTACTCATAAGAAAGGCTTATTATATATGTAATTATTTGGTAGTGTATTGCAAGGAAATTGTGTCGTAAACCACTCAAGTTTTGAGCCAGCCTGCGGAACACACGCACACACACGGCGGTGGCTGGGCCTTAAGCTGTATGTAGCCTTCTGATAAGGTTCAGGATATTTTGTGGCGTTTTGACATCGCTGTGAGGCCTGTGACTCAAAAAGGATGTGACGCAATCGATTGGAAGGAAAGCGCATTCACCAACGTAAAGCTGTTGCCACTGTTAGTGTTTTGGCTGGTAATCTGGAGAGGGTCACTGTTTGAGGTGTGCAAGTGTAAAAGGGAATCCAGCATTTCTCAAGCCTGAAAGAGAAAGATACGTCTTGCGTGTTTGCTGAGATGGTTAGAAATCATACCTCTGAAACCTACACTGGACAGCTCATAAATTCTGTCACTACAGGGTACTGCGGCACATTAATTATAGAAAAAAAAGTAAATAAGTACCATGGCATACAATGAACACAGTTTATTTTTTACGAGAAATTTTCATAATTGGTTATGATTGTGCAGTCCTGTGTATACCTTTGTTGCTGCACGGTACAGGATCTGGGTACAGTGCATTATGTGGGTACTTTGGTGCAGGACTAAATAACTTGCCAAACAAATGAGTATATTGCAATGGATTGTAGTAATTTGGTACAATTGAACCGTTTTTATAAGTTGAACAATGTGCATTTTTAAACGTTTTTGGAATATGTTATTCATAACAAGACTAAATGTTTAACTATTTTACTGCTGTCACAGCAGCATATTGAACATATTTGTGAGCTTTTTGATTTTAAATGTAAGTGTGTGTTTTTTTGAATGTATACATCCAATTTTAAAAGGTAAAATGCTGAAGTGGCTTTGACAATAAATTAATCTATTTAATGTGTAATTGTTTTTCGTTGAACAAAATTATCGTGTTAATTATATCATAAAAGCATCTGGCACAGTTGATATTTATTTTTAATGTACTGTATCTTCACGTACAAATATTTTCACGAGTACTCTCCGTGACATTAGTCCTGTGGGTTTCATCTAAGCTTGGTACATACAAACACATAGTAGCCATGATGTTACTCTGCATACAGCTTCACGCTTTGGTGTTGGATTCGGGCCGTTAAGTGGCTAATGCCACTTATGGAATAAAGGAATGTACACAGCCCGGACAGAATATTCATTTAGCTCACGGTTGGCATTGTGGGCACATTTGGATTAAGGTTGAATTTAAAACAAAATCAAATGACAATTAACAAATTGCACTGATAATGTAGTGTTTGTTTATGGTTGCAAGATATTAATATACCATGTATTTACATATTGATATACCATACTGAATTACGTATACCATACAAAATGTATGGTATACGTAATTCAGTATTTACTTTATGCAGTAATACATGGGTTATAATCCCACCAGGGTTTATTAGAGATGAAATGGCTCTGTTCTTCACTGGTCCGGACCAAACTGCTGTGAAGAAAAAATGTGTACTGTTACTGATGTATGCTCTAAGCTCACCATTCCTCTGAATGTATGCTCTAAGCTCGCCATTATTGAAAGTTGGAGAGCCAAGAACGGGACAAGCCACTAATATATTATACATTAGTTTAAATAATGATTTACTGGAATAGGCAAGAAAACTAGGCTTCAGTTTACCCTGGGGCCTTTGTGTCTGGATATCTGTTGATTGTAAACCATTCTGCATTACTGCGTCTACATCCCTCGGTTTTTGTAATGCTGGCATGTTGTTTCCCATTGGCTATTTCACATTTTCTTGAACATTTTAAGCTAATGTTTATAATACTGAGCAGTGTCTAGATTATAAATATTTAAGGCTATTGGACAAATAATGTTAGGGTTGTATAATATGGTAAGTTAAGTAGGAGTCTATGAAATATTTTGTATTGTTAAAACAAAATTTAATGTATGTCTTTATATCGTATGGGATGATGTTTTCCAAGTTAATTCATTTTAAGTAGCTATTACTGCACCAGATGTTAGAAAACATGTCAATGGAGAATTGTTGGCTTCAAAAACTAATTTGTCTGAATATATTTGTTTTTTGGATCCGAAGCTAGTTCAAAAAAATCTTAAGTCAATTTAAGAATACATTATAATGCATATAATCTCCCTCAGCACCTTGTGCCAAGTGATAATTGCTAAATTTGGTTAATTCAGAAGGTTACCTATCTACTGACACTTAATAGGGAAAAATATTTTATTTATTTTCACATGGAATGTAGTGTGGTACTCAATTACTGGGCTGCTGTTTTCAACTTGCATATAATTTAATGGCAATGTAACATTAACAAGATTGCATTATGAATGTAAATGAATATGCTTTGTGTTAATCTTTGCCATTATAATCATGCAAAGATGTACTAGTTGCTTTTGGATTACATGTACATTTTGTCTTGTTAAGACTATCTAAAATTCCATTTTATGTTTTCTTCCTTTTCCAGGTGTTGTGTGTGTCTGGTGGCATTGCGAAGGGGCGTGCCGCACACTTTCCTTCCCCTACCATAAAGGAGTGTGCATTCCCTGTGCAGACCTGTCAGCCCACCAAGATGCTTATGAACATGGGAACAGTGGTGAAAAGGAGCCGGAGCAAAATAATGAAATCTGAACCAAAAGCCGAGGCACCGTTCAATGTAGAGATGGTGCACAAAGCAAGCACAAAGGAGTGCTCTCCCAACTTTGATGAGCGAAGTGATGATGCAATAGGAGCCACGGGCGGCACTGACCTCATGCAGGAGACTGAAGATAAGCCTGTGTATGACTTCTCGACCAAAGCAAGATCTTCCGTATCTAACCTCGATGAAGACTTTGTGCCTCGTGCCGAGACTGAGGATGATGCCCGGCAATTGGCCGATTGGATTTACCACAGCGACTCGCCTTCCAGCCACAGCCAGCCATCGCCATCCTCCAGCCACCATTTTGGCGATTCAGAGTCTGATGCCGGCAACGACAGCCGGCTTGCACAGAGATCAGGCCAACGGCGTGTCAAGACCTCGAGGAGGAGGCAGCAGCAGCAACAACAGCAGCAACAACAGCAGCAGCAACAGCAGCAGCAACAGCAGCAACAGCAGCAACAACAACAACAACAGCAGCAACAACAGCAGCAAGATGTACACCATGGTAGTAATTTTGCAGGTGTCTCGGCTAAGCGCTTGCAGTCCAGTAGCCAGTTGTTGCGCCTGCATCAGCCTCAGGATACACGCGTGGTTGGCGATTCGAGTGCCCGCCACAGCGGCGATGTGGGCCGCAGCACCAGGCGGAAAGAGTGGATGAGGCTGAGGAAGCAGAAGCGGGAGGCTGCCGCGCACAGGAGGTACGCTGTCTTGCAGCATTCGAGCAGTTCGAGTGACAACGACCTCTCGGATAATTCCTCCAGCACCACCACCTCGTCATCCACCTCTTCCTCCTCTGACATCGATGAGGGCATTCAGCCCAGCACGAGTACGACAGAAATTGGCATTGGTAAGCTTTGTTACACTTTAATTTTTTATTATGTGAACGCGCAGTATTCATCGCTACAGCAACATCGACTGTTTTGAAGGATTATCATGCAGAGCACTCTGTGACCACGAGGTTTTAGCATTAAGTGAATATTTAAGTCAGCGGTATTAAACAGAAATGTGAACTTGAATTGTTTTAACAGAGCGAGTAGACGAAGACGTGATGGTGATTGATCCTCCCACTGTCAACGTTTCGGCTGCAGTGAACGTTGTTTCAACTGACAGTGAAGTTGAGATTATCGACGTTGAAGACTCCACAAGGTTTGCAAACTTATTTATTTTCTCTCCACAAACATAGCCACCACTAAAGTTAAGTTGGCAGATGCTTCAAAGCCAATTATGTTTTCACATCTAAGTGTACATGTGGTGCTGTTGCTTTCATGTTGCAGCCGGCTGGGCCGTGTGTCCCGCTTACGGGAATCATGGGGTGTGGGCGAGAGCCCTCGGACATTCAGCCGGCGGTCTCTTTCCAGTGGTTCGGCCTGCCAGCAGGCCAACCGGTGAGTTCTCGACAGCACACACATCTCTACATAAGCGCACATCGTTTTTTTGTCTCCCTGGTGGACCTTCATTATTCTTCAACATAGTTCTGCCAAAACAAATAATAGGTCCCAACTCTCCAGGGGTTCCACAGCAGCATTGCTTCAGCACTTGCCCATGGCTAATTTTGACAGCAAGATCAAGTCTGGGCAGAGCATGATCATGCATAAGAGAGCACTGTTGAACCGGCAGTCTGAGCAGGCTGTTGCCCATGGGCGCTATAGGGTTTTGCTTTGAGTATGTGATGTTAAACCCAAAGGCACGTGAGTGTGGCCAACATATGGTTCTGGATATTAGTCCAGGATGAACTTAATAATTTCCCATTAATTTTCACCTGGCAAAAGTTAGTGTGTCTTTTTTTACAACCTGTGTATGCTTTTAACTTAGGGAAATTTATGTAATCGTTGCTTTTTATCATAAAGATATTTTTCATATAAAGCAGATCTTTTGACTTGAAAAAAGTTGACTGCCTGTTACTGTGGCAAACCAGTCGATTCCATTGTAAGATTGTGAATTAAAATCCCACTCATTTTGGCACGCTATCCTTTTGGACTTGATAGAATTAATACCACCTCGTGGAAGTCAACAGAGGTTCCTATTTGAAAATACTGGCCCATGTCATAGAAATGTAAAAGTTCTACCCTTGCTTAGATGACCAGTTTTTGAGCAAGAAACCTTTGGTGAAAATTATTAAAACACTTTTACTCTGCAATCGAGTTTAAATTAATACATAAATGTGGGCGACCACATGTCTTGGTTGGCAGGTCTATGAATGCTTCATGCCAGCAGTCTGGTGTGAGTCGCCCATCCCCCACTGATGTCGTGGACTTGAGCCAGGTGGAAGAGGCTCCAGGAGACATTGTGGATCTTACTGTGGAGGAGGAAGGTACGATTCCTTACACCCAGCTTTCCTTTTGCCGAGTTTGCATTTTCCTCACCCTGTGTCCCTGAATGTCCTTGGCTCATTAACTGCTTGCGTTCTTGGGCTTGCATCTCACTGAATATTACTCCCAAGTTCGTTTACCATGCATACCCACACTATCCCACACACTTCCTCACACTTTTCTTCCAGGGCTCCTTAACCCCTTCGTCCCCTCAGCCCTCGCTGTCCGATCCCTCATATGCTTGCAGTTTCCGATCTCATTCCTCGATAATTATGCAGCCCCCTAGTCCTTTATTTCATCAGTGCCCTCTCTCCCCCCTCCTGCTGCCCAGCACCCTTCACCTAAACTGCTTTGCTAATGGCAGTGCTATTTATAAAGTTGGGGACACAGAAAAGTATTGTACACTCAGCTGTTTTACCCAGATGGTGGGAAACGAATTATGTGTTGACAGTTAGTTTTATACGAGTATTTTTTTACGTAACAATTTAACCATGTACGTTTTCATAGATTGTGATGGTACTTAAACACATTAAGTAAAATTCGTTATTTTGATTTGCACTAGAAATGAATGTGCCTATACTTATAAAACTATAATAATGTTCTTGTGATATTGTTCTTTACCTTACATAGTTAACCAGCAGTTACTTTTTATCGCTTACATTTATTTGCTTAACATGGTTTAATTGTAGAGGTTACTATTCAGGCCTGTCCCTGTAAGAATTCCAGGACAGCTTAGGATACATCAGGGAGCCTGGTAGTCAAACTGCATGAGGAGATAACACATTTTGCACACAAAATAATCTTGTAAATTTCACATTTGAGATAAGACGGGGCAGAGGATAACCTCTAACCAAACGCAGTCCTAACCAACACGTCTGCACACACATGTGCAAGAGCATGAAAATGTGGCATTTAGTTAGAACCAGTGGGAATGGGGAGCTGTTGCAGACCACAAGATGTGGTGGACTTCTCTGGGTATTGGTGTGGAGGAGGGTTGAGTCATTGCAGAGCATGTGCCAGAGCCGGCCTGCTTGCGGGAATGGGTGACGTCATGATGGTTTTTGTGTTTGGGGTTGATTGCTGTGAACGTGGCGAAGAATGACGGCTGTTGGATTACTGCATTTTTAATACCAAAAAAGGAATTGAACGAGACCACATTAATTGCTCGATATCATTCACAAAGTATCGTAACTTTGCTGTAAAAAACCACCAATTTCCCCTCATTTTGTTTTATTGCAAATTAGTAATTGAAACCTATGTTTGTATTTGTAATAATTTGTACGTTTTTGGTGTTTACACAAGATTTCGGTAATTAAGATTAGAGTACTTAGAGACACTGTGTTTAGTTTTAACTGTTATTTTTTGCTTGGAGTATGTCCACAATTAATTTTTCATTACCGAAAATAAACACATTTAAATCTTGCCATTATGAAATGTTAAGTTATGCGATTTCAAATTCTTGCCATGTAAAGTATTTAATTATGTCGGTTGTTTGGTATAACAAAATGCAAATAATTTTTTGTAACAAAAACAGCCCAATGCTGATGAGAACCATATCAGCCTGAGGCTGTTTTAAAATGGTGGGTATTTCCGCCTTTGTATTGGGTTAACTATCTTTTTGGCATTAGCCAGTGCTTGCAGTTATGTGAAACGGTAGCCTATCTTGGTTTTAAGGTTTCACTGTTTTTGTTATCCCATGTTTCTAACAGCTGCAACATTTAACACATTCACCAAAATATATTTGGTCTTTTTCTAACAACACAATGTAGCTGCAGTTTACAATATATAAGCATTGAATGGTAATACAAAATTTAAAATGTTCAAGCATAAATCAGGTTAAGTTGCTTCTAGCCTATATGGTCGCTCATTTCCATCATTTAAATTATCCACTTTTCTTCATTCACGTAGCTTTGCACACACTGCTGACATTTTACATTTGGTACATTGATGCATGAGCGTTCTTTGTTTTTTGTTCCTACTATATTGTGTTGATTTATCACGTGCCCAGCTCTGCTTTACAAAAGCTGTATGTTTCTTCGGCAAGCTGTCACTTGATTTTTAATTAAACGAGCCAATGGATCGACTGATTGACAACCAGCGTACACCTTGTCCTGCTTATTTCAGGGGCACCGGTGGCATTTTATGACGTAGCTGAGCCACAACCGCAGGGTGAAGGAGGTGCCACAACTCCCCCAACTTCCAGTCTGCCTTCCTCAAGCCAGTCTTCCTCCCCTGCCAGCCGCGCCGTGCCCTGCTCGCTGCCGACTTCCGTCATTGTCTCTTCTTCCAGCCAGCCTGCCACCACACTTCCACATTCTTCAGGTGCAGTTGTCTTTGCAAAGTAGCAACGAACCTACCTTGGTTCTCTGAACCTAATTGATTGTACTAAATTACTTTGCCAGTAGAGGAGGAGATAGGCTTGCATGTATATGCATTTTCCAGTAAAACTAGTAATACAAAAATAGTAATGTATATGCATTTTCCAGTAAAACTAGTAATACAAAAATAGTAATATTTAAAAGCATTTTCATAATGAGAGAAGTTGAACCAGTGACGCCACAAAGCTTAACATATCGAATGTGCTGTTGGGCAGTGTATTTAATGTGAGAATACATTAAAATGGTGACGTGCTTGATATCTACAATCGTTGGAAATGGGAGCAGGGTGAATATATTGGTGGTGTCCTTTTTTAAGAGAAAAACCTCACCCCCATTATACATCTAAGCAACATTGTTCATATTCTTGGTTTTTTTGGTAAAGTCACGTAGAAGGGAAACAATAAAATAATAAAAATATAAAACAATTAAATTATCACGCCGTTTCGACTGCAACACAAGCAATCATCATCAGGTGTGAAATCCACAGCAAGAAAATTTGAAAAAAGTTGCGTTTTTTTTATTATTTTATTGTTTCCCTTCTACGTGACTTTACCGAAAGAACCAAGAATATGAATCCCTGCAGTCATGAAAGCTTTAAATCTAAACATTGTTCATGCCAGATTTGATGACGATGGTCAGGAGGCCTCAAAGGGAGGAGTAAACAAGCCACAACACTCACGCTGCACACAGGCACAAAAACTGGGGATGTTGATTACTTAAACCTCTGGCTCTGTTTTGGTCATGGCCCTTGCTCATGAAAACTCAGTTGTGACCCTTATATTTGTCAAATATTTACTGCTTAAAAATCCTTAAAAATCACATGTAGAAAAATGTCTTTCTCGGTCCTTAAAAATGAGAGACTTGCACACCAGGTGGGAAATCAATAGTTTATTTTCAGTACCTACAGATTTTTTAATTGCCTGCACCACGGGCATTCATAAGGAAAGTATACAGTATTATAAAAAATGGGAGACCTGAATAAAAATAACCTCCGTTTGCCTGATGTAAAAGTGCAATTCGTGGGTATTTTATTTTTGAACATGAAACATGGGTACGTTTTTAAAGGTGACAATACCTACAATAAAAAAGGCAGAAAGTTAGTGCTTCCCAAATTTGGTGATGAAAAATTACTTTCCCATGGTGCAGGCCAGTGTGTACATGTGGTGACTAGTATTGATTTAAAAAAAAATTGCAACTCCTATTTTAAACCCTTGAGAAATTATAAATTGAGTCAGCCTTCAACTCAGATTTAACCAGCAGCTTACTGGTTGTTCGTCGAGCGTTCTACCAACAGCACCATCTGGCCGGCATATTCTGCTTGACACCTGCAGGGTTCCTGTGACTGCATTTACCTCCTTAGCGAGGCATATCTCTAGCAGCTTTAACTTCTTTGGTAATCTCCCCTGGGGATGGCTAGTGCCAAACCATAATATTTCACACTTGCAACTGGTGTTGCTGGTTGATGTCATGTCCACAGAGGAACTGGGCAGCAGCGAGAGTGTCAGCCCTGTGCAGAACTCGCCACAACCCATGCCCAGGCTGCCCGACTGCTGCGTGGAGCATTACGAACCGTGTGAGCGTCCGGCCTTCGGCGCTGCGTCCTTCGCCCACCAGGGCCACGTGGGGCACGGGGGGGCAGCCTTGCCTCAGCTGCCGAGTGCCGGGTTGTCAGGCGGTTCCGGAGGTGCCACTGCCTTGCGGCCTTCGCAGCATCCTCAACAACAGGCCGAGCACCCTCCTCACCATGGGTCGAGTGCACGCTCCCCGAACGGCCAGCCGCGTGACCAGGTTTGTCCCACAGATGCATTGTAAGTCAAGGGTTTGTCTTTGTGGGCATGTAATGATGCATCGATTAAAATATATTCATACATTCACAGTACGTGAAAAAATTTAGTATTTGATGTAAAATAATGTTTACATTATGATGAGTTTTAAATTTAATCTTAACCCCTAACAGTGACATTTCGTTGATTTGTGAGTGAGATAATCCATCGTTACATGTCTACTCTTGTATATTTTTAAATGTTTGTTCATGAATACTACAAGAAGAAAATCCTATTAGAAATAAAAGTTAAATGCACTGCATTTCCACCCCCCGAAAAATGTATTCTAGTTGGTTAGCAGGTGTGTTTTCCATTGTGCAATAAAATTAACTTCCTGCAGTGTCTGTTGCATGCCTTCTGTACATAGCACAGTGGCAAGGCCCATGACAATGCTCTCTTTACAGTGAGTAACTTGGCCTAGCTGGCATAGAGTATAATTTGTCAAGAGCCTTCTTAGATGACTTTAAGGACCAAGTACTATGGGATAAGTGTAATTATAAAGGTTTAAAACATAATGGCATTTATTTTTCCAGGAAAATCTTATTTAGTCAGTCCTTTTTCAGGAGTGTATTGGATTGTTTTTTTGCTAGTTCCATTAATTTGTTAGGCATGTGCGCAAAAAACCAGATACCCAGAGAAAATGCATACGAGGGGATAATATTAACATCTCCACACAGATGTATTCATCTCCACACCTGCTGTACTGCCAGCTTCTGGCCACCTTGTAACCCAGCAGCTGTCAGTTTCACATGTTTGTATGATCTACAACCCTTGCCTTAAAGTAATAGTTGTCAGGCTTCAGTATCATGCCCAGTCCACAGTGATTATCTTCCCGATAAACTGGTAGTTACCATAGTAATGTGGAATTTACAACAGGCTCATGGCCATCAATGAATATTCACGCAGGCCCACGCTCATTTCAGCAGGGATACGCTTAGACATGGACACATTTAAAACTGGGTCTTTCTTTTACATTATCTCTGAATTATCAGTTTAGCTGTGACCCAAGAAAACATTGGGCGGGCTTTGAATGTTTGTGCTAGCAAGTAACATACATGGTTGTTCCGCCAAACTCTCTTGCGCACAAACTGTGACAGTGAAGTGCAGCCCTCTGGATTTTGCCAACACGTGGATATGTTTCAAATGCAGTGTTCATCCTCATTGTGTGGTGTGTTTATATGGCAGCTGCTGCTAAAGTTGCATCCTGCACTGGAATGAACACTGCACCAAGTATCTACCTTATTAAATGTGACATTTAAGTAATAAATAGCTGTTATTTTTGCTTTAGAAAATAAAAAAAACTTGCACCCCGTTCTATAGCAGTGCAATATATGTATATTTAAATACAACACAATGTTCTTTTGTGTACCTGGGTCAGTGTATACTCTGAAGGTACGTATATAGTTTTCACATGCCAGTTTTAAACTACCTAAATGGTGAGTCAACAGAAATTAACCTGCTTGTCGGAATTCTCGAAAATATAATAGCCAAGTCATTGTGCCTCGCCCACTACTCGTATAAGCATGGAGCAATGCACGGCTCCCCTTGCCAGCCCAGAGGCTGCGGTGGAAAATCCACATGGTGAGAAACAATCCCTCTGGTGGGAAAACTGTTTCTGCTCTAAACAGACATTGTTGACTTGCCACACAGGATGTAATCAGTTTATCGACCCTTAAAGGATTACAGGATTAATTTACCGCTGACTGGGATTTGAATTTGCTAACTTCTGGTTTTTGGTTTGAGTTCTTTAAATACAATGCTTCATGGCCAGATATTTTATAAAGAAGTACTCAAATATTCACAAACATTTCAGGTGTTCCCTCATTAAATGTTACTCTCACATGTTTGCAAATGGTAATCTTATTTCAATTTCAGATTTTTTTGAACTGTCTAATTGTTGTATTCATCCAATAAAAAAAAATCCAATTGTAATTTATTTAAATGGTTGCTTAGAAACCATGCTTAATGTGCTAGAATTTCAAACTTACTTATTTTCAGTTTATTGTAATAGATAACAAATTATGTATAGATGGAGAAATTAAGATAAAAAAATGATAAAATCATGCCTCATAATAACGCAAGTAATTTCTAAAGCAGAAAGTCCGCTTTTTTAAATTGACTTTAATCTTAAGAATTATAATTTTAAATAGATGTTTGGTAACCATTTGAAACAAAGGCATTAAATGTAAATGTAGGGGGTTATTTTAAATGTACACGTTACCCCTATTTAGTTTAAGGTATTAATTAGATTTGTTACAGCGCATAATGTTCAATTACAAGCATCATACAAACCCAAATTGGCACTCATTATCTGCTATTCTGTGATAATTGGCTAATTAAGAAGACTTGCCGAGTTGTCCTTGCCCTTCGGTTGTGTGATTAAGCATCGTATAAACAGAACTTTAGAAATGTTGTAAACCAAATGGAAGGAATAATTTTTTGTGTGATCCTTGGAATCGCAGCACAAACATTTTAATGGTAAGACGATTAATTACGATCTTTACAACAGTTATGATTTATTTAAGACACCACTATTTCTACGAGGTGGAATAAGTAGGAGACATAAGTAAGATCTTAAACAAGCGATAAGATGGTGACTGCTATTGACACTGGACATTTCATCCACTTGAGCTCTCGAAACATTTCTCCCGCTGAGTTGTTTTTATGGTACCAACTCAAATACCTTTTAACAATTGTGGTCATTTGTTTTATATTTATTTATGCTACAACACACTGATTCAGCAAGTATTCAATTCAGGCAATATCCTTTATTGAACAGATTGGAGTGCGTTATCTGTGTTGCGATGGTGATGTGATAGACTTGGTCACGTGAGAATATTTTCCTTGAAATTATTTTAGTTTCAGGAATTGTTCCCAATATGTATTTATTTTCATGTACTTTCAAAAGAATCGGCAGACTACCTGCTGGATCTCCTCACTGTTTCGAAGAACAAATGTGACCTCCGGGTTTACGCTCATTTACCAGCTTCACATTCCTTATTGCCATACAAATACTGGATGGGGGAAGGGCCTTTTCTATTGATGCCCCCAGGGTCTGGAATGTTATCGCCAATAAACTGCAACTTGGATCACTACCTGTGAGATCTTCACTCAAAACTGCTCTAGAGGAGTTGTACACCTCTAGCTGCCACTGCTATTCAGAATGGCCTGAAATCAAATGTATCGTTCCGGATGACCGCTGCAAAGTATGATCTTGAGTTTTGATTATAGTGTGCTGATTGTCAAAGGTGTATTGAAAATTTTTGATACTGCTACTGATACTCCTGCTGCTATGGAGTGACTCATGTAGCCATCTATGGCTGCAAAGTTTGGTCGTACATGTTATGTATATCGTTTATTGTTAAATTTGAATCACAGTTCCTATGATCACTGTTACATTGTTTTTATAGCTTTATTTTGGTGATTTTGAAAACGTTTTGGTTTTTCCATGTTTGTTTGTTTCCAGAGTTGGCCTGATAACTGTAATCTAAATTGTCTTATGGTTGTTATTGTTTGACTTGCATCACACTGGGATTATTGCACACAGCGTTGAAATACGGTGTTTTTTCTGGAAGTCTTTGCTGTTTTTTCCTGGATTTTTTTGTTGCGTGTAGTCACTTTAAGATGTTTCTTGTTTTTGTTTGTTGCGGTTGCACCCGAGTCGAGAACCGCATGGCTCACAGGGTTATACCTAATAAATGAAACTGAATTTTTAATTTCAACCATTAAGTTGGGCCGCGAACATAAGTTTACTCTTGTTAGATATTGCTTATTATTAATGCACTTACGCTTTGATTATTAACTGCTGACACAACTGGCCGACTGCAGGAATATAATCAGCACAAACCCATCCATTAAAACTCCATCCAGGCTGCCTACAATAGTTCTTGGGACATGTAGAAGACAAAATTAAATACTATTTTTTATTTTACCAGGTAAGGCCCACTGAGCCATATAGCAATCTTACGGAAGCGACCTGGGTACATGATAGCTCAATGAAGTGGCTTATCACGTGGACATTTATAGCAGTCAATAATTATTATGTATAACACGTAGAACTTGCCCAGTAATATTTGTGCATTCTCCACTCTGCAGCAATTGGGTCCCGTGGACCTGAGCAGCTCGTCATCCTCCGTGGGCAGCCAGGGCTCAGCTGCCGGCTTGAGTGGCCGCTCCCTGGATGGAGGGAGTCCCCCCGAGCGCGAGAGGCTCCCTTGTCAGGAGCCGTCATCCTCGTCTTTGTCGGCCCATGGGTTCTCAAACCGCAGCACTACCGACTGGCGGCCGTGCCAGACGGACACCGGGGGGGTGCGCGAGTGGCATGGTGCCGAGCGTGGCGATGCGGTCGCTGCGGCCCGTGACTGGCACGCGTCCGGCGCACAGCCCGAGGCCTCTTGCCGCACTTCAACAAGTCACCGAGAGAGTTATACCAGGCGCAGCGACGCCGACTCTGCGGCAAACGGTGTCGCTAGCAGTGGCAGCATCCTGCTGGGGTCAGTGCGGTGGCGTGAGCGCTACTCCGTGCTGGAGGCCTCGCTGGGCCATGGCATGGCCCTACGCTCGCCGGCTCGCAGAGACTGGTACCCCGGCCCGCTGGAGCACACAGACGGGCAGGCGCCTTCCGAAGCGGTCGGCCGCCGAGAGGACGGATACGGCTTTCGCTCGGACAGCTTGGCCTACGAGCTGCCGGGCAGCCTCAGGGACTGGTACAGTGGGCTCACGGACCCTGGTGGGTTCGGCACGGCGTCCACCGAAGCCAGGAGGGAGCAGTACACAGAACAAATGGCCGGCCCGACTGTTGGTTACAGCCAGGTGGGCCAACCACAGGCCCCCTCCTGCCACCACCACCTCCTTCCGCCCACGTGTGAGTATGCTTTTTGCAGTCTTTGTGCACACATTCAAAGGTCTGTTGTGGCAGAGTGAGCCAGCTGGTTTGTAGAATATGGTATGAGCATTTCCTAGGCTTTGTGTATATTTGTGCTTTATTTTGATAGGGGCTTGGTTGCTTTGTGAGAGTTCTGCATTTGAATCCACAGGCTGTTTTATGGTCGGCAATTACATTTTTTTTAAACCATGAAAAAGAAGACAAGACACAAATTAGAGATGAGATATTTTATAACAAGCCGCATTTCATTTCTTAACTCTATTATGTTCTTGCATTATTGTGGTTTATAATTAATCTTATCAGCTAATTAGTGTTACAGCTGAAAGGGATTAATATCATCCATATCTACCTTAATATGACTTGGTGATGGAAAATGAAAGCCACTTGCGGTGTATTCTACAATAAAAAAATAGATTCTAAAGCATCATTCCAGTAATAATTTTTTTACTTAATAAGCCGGACTAGAGCTCCAATGTTATCAGTGTTGAAATAATTTGGTATTGTGATCAATTGGTTCGGTAGACGTGCACTGTCCCCTGAACGATGATGAACAGCTCGCCGCCCCGGTAGCGTTGTGATTGCTGGTTGGTTACAGCCAGCCCGTGCCTTTCACAGAAAGCTCTAACAATGGGCACACAAAGAGGGCCCAGCAGGGGCTCCCCACTGCAGAGTCGGTGGGATTTGCTCTCTCGTGAAGTGGATTACGCCCTATGACAGATGGCACGAGGCCATTTCCATTCGCCCAGTGGCTCCTCTGCCTTTGCCTGCTGGCGGCAACCACAGCCCCAACACAGAGCTGTAGCTGCTTCAGGGGACGGACGTTCGGCTGCCTTGTAGACATTTTTTGTGAAAATGGAGCTGTGTTTCATTGAGCACGTCTGCCTGCCTTTGCATCAGTGTCTGGGCGAGAGAGGTACTTCAGCATGGTGGGGTTAACCATAATCGCGCTCTTTTTAATCCACTGTGATCTCGCGCTGTGGATTATACTGTGCTTGCTGTTGTGTGAGATGTTACTGCTGTTGTGTGCTGTAAGCCAGTATCTCTGCACTGCAACAAAGACATTCTTTTGTTGCCGGTTATGCACACAAACCACACTGTGCTTGTCACAAAGAGATATACTTTGCTAACCGGAATTTTTCACCAACAAATTCGTAACTCCACAAATCTATTGTACAACTAATTCATCCGTTGTGTTTAATTGTGAAGATACATTTTGATTGTAAACTTACATTCTCGTTGAATGTGACTCAGCAGTAACGTGTTATGTAAAATGTTCTAAAATGAAATGTGAATAGTGGAAGAGAATGCTTTTTTGAAGCGACATGTTTAAACAAAGACCTCGCAGCTGCTGCGCCCATGATCTCTTGACTCAAAGAAATAATTGTACGATTCCATAATCTGTGTGATCAGTATTTATTCCTGGAATTGGTCTGCCAGCTATCAATAAGGCATACATTAATAATACGATTGAAGTTATGTTCCATATTGAACAGCATTTTTCTCATTGCTCTAAAAGTAAGGCACACAATTCCTGTGTCAATATGTTTGTGTCATTTCATTAATGTGTCCTTGCATAACCCATTGAATACGTTAGTGGCAGGCCTAAGCACTTCCATAAATATATCCTGCATGTACCAACACTGCCTTGTACAGATCCCTTAGGACTGCTCGTGGGTTATTGTGTGCATGTGTAATGAGCTAGTTAACTGCTTGCTTATTCGTATTACCTCGCTTTGTGAGTGTGCATCTTTTAAAGCGAGTGCCGTACCACTCTGCCCAGCGTGTGTGCCTTTGTGTTCAGCGCTTTGCGCATGAATAAGCTGTACACAGCGCTTTGCCTGGCGCGCCCTTAACTGGGCCATGCAGGGGATGTCACATGACGTCCATTAGGTACCAGTGGATGTCCTGGCGGGCATGTGTTTAATGCAAGCGTTTGCATGCGTAGCCGTGCACACGCACACAAAACATCGGCACACGCGGGAGCATGCACGCAGGCCCGCACAAACGCTGCGGCCTAGGCGGGCGCGTGAGTGCCCCGTGCAAATGCAAACCCGAATACCAGGTTTAGCAAGAATACTCAGAATCTGTCGTGTTGTCTCTCGAGTCAAGCGTTTTGGGTTTTAAGAATTCTTCAAGAAACGTAAAAATATTTTATAGTTACTTTCATGTGAGTGCGCACCCTGTTTCTGCTGCCTTTTGCGGCACCGAACAATTAAGTTAAACTGTTATTTGCCAAAATGTTAGTAGGCACACTGTTCAAATTGACAAGGCCCTTTTGACACGATGTAAAAACAAAGAGGCTGCCTCGGCAGTTGCTTTAAATATTTTATTTTTCATGTAGCTTGGTGTGGCTAGGATGGATTGAAAATCCCTCCCAATCATCAACAGTGTAATAGTGTGAAGTCTCTCTGACATGGCCACAGTGGCTCTCACCTGCTGGTATGTACAGGTGTGACCGGAGGATATTTGCTGTGGAGCATTCCATTTTGAGCAAGTCCTACGGGGTTTAAAATCCCCTCCCCCCTGGTTACAGTCCTGACTTGGTAGGCACCCGTTGCCTACCGATGGCACTGTATTGTGGAAGAATTGCAGCAGTCCATCATCAAGCGTGTCCCAATGACGCAAATGCGGGCCATTTCAAGCTGTTACTTGACTATATCTTTATTGGTTGATGAAATACTCTATTATGTGCATTGCGTTGCACGGCACATATTTTATTTTTAGGCATTTCCCAAAGGCAGTGCATATTCAGGCACAGTTTAGCTTGTCATTACACTATAAAACAGCTGTTTTGAATTACACGATTGAGCTATTTTGTGTCATTTAATATAATAACCTTAAATCATGGAATCTATCCTTCATGAAGCCGGCCGCAAATGCATGGAAGCGATTATTGTACACGGTATACTGTGTGCTTAAAATGGGTTCACATGATACAGTTTTGTTGTCACGCTTGTTAAATGTGTCGGATTTTTGTAATCGGGAAAGTATGTGGGACTTATCTAGCAATGTAGTTCTCGCTCAACGGCATTAATATTATGACAGCATACATGGTTTGGTGTTATGTTTTGGCAGGTTTTTGTTATCATGTTCATTTGTCAAATTGATGTGGAAAATTGCAGTTGCTAAGTGGAGGACACAGGCTCCTTCGCACATGAACTTGCATATGAATGTAGTTGCACGGTCTGTTAGTTATGTTGAGTAATTTGAACTCTGTTCTGTGGATTCACAAAAGTGCTCCATTTTAAGCGACCAGGGCTGGAATAAATCCATTTGTGTGGTGATTTAACAGAACATTTGGATTTTGTGGGTTCAAATCCTGGTTGTGGGTCAACTCAGCCCATCATCTCTCTAGGACTATAAGAGTTTCCACTGGAAAATTAACGTTAGTAAACCGATAGACTGGTAAATGTCATGAAATCTGAAATAATAATACTTAACTCAACACAGCTAGTAGAGATGAGCACTGCCAAATGCACATTTGAACAAGGAGACAAGCCTATGAACTTGACTGTTATACCATTCAACGATGGTCGGGTGTGCCTCTCTCCTCGTCGTCAATAACATGGCTCTTTATTTGCTCTGCTTTAGGTGCCCTCCGGAGGCCCAGTCATCACCAGCACCACCCTGCCCTCCCTCAGTACCACCACCATCACCACCATCACCACCATCCCCCGTGCTCAATCGCACGGCCTCCCCAGGCCGCCCCTCCGCCGGCACCGCCAGCTGCGCCGCCGCCCCCTCCGCCGCCCCCCGAGTACGCCATCCCGCACGTCGTGCACCACTCGCACGCGCACGGCCACTTCCAGGCGGCAGCTGCCGCAGCGGCCGCGGCCGGCATGGTGGGACCTCACGGCTCGCAGCTGCCTCCGCCGCCACCGCTGACTGTGCCGCACGCGCAGCCCGGCCAGGCCACGGGTCCCCCACCGCCACCACAGCAGCCGCCTCCCCCGCAGCAGCAGCAGCCACCGCCCGCTCCTCCTCCCCCACACCGGCTGCACCAGCACTTCCTCATCCAACAGGGACTGCAGGAAATCCAGCGGCGCCGCATGATGCACCACCCCAGGTTCGACGAGTCTCGCTTTTGTGCACGTTTCCAATGAGGCGTCACGTCATCTGATCTCGCGTCTAGCACTGGAACTTGTGGGAGTCAAAATGGAGAGAGAGATCGAGGTAGTTGAGTGGGCCAGGGAGCTAATATCTTGAGAGCATTGAAACTGGGTTTTACTGAAACTGAAGTTGATCCCTGGCAGTCGCCCACAATTTAACTGGTTTTTCCAGTGTAGCAAGTTGATGGGTCGGTTCAGCCAGGAATGGCCAAACAGTCCTAAGATTCACCAATACTTTCTGTGATAAAGAATTGGAGTTATTGAGTGGCCTCGGGGGGTTGATACCTTAGTGCACCGAGCTAGTTCTGCTGAGAAGTCTGGGTTTGATTCCAGGCACGATTAAACCAGTTTTTCAAGTGAAGTGTGATTTTTTTTTTTTAAATGGTTGCTCATGACTGCACAAAAAACATCATTTTATTTGGTTTGTTACTTTGGAATATTCCAACTTTCGATTACAAATTTTGGGTTAATTGCCATGCATGAAACAAACACTATTTGCAGGACATAAAAGGTGCATAAATGCTGTGTGGTTAAGAGGCCTTTTAGAATGACCTCATAAGTAGTTTAGTGACAATTTTCCTGGGACTATAAACTTGAATGAGGTGATGGATTTCTTGTGAAGAGTTTAAAGTTTTTTTTCCATTTTATGACTGAATGCCGATAACATATTATATAATGAATGTATATATTAAGTAATCTTGCAGCCAAATACCCTAAATGAGCCTCATCAGATTATATCTCAAAAGCTAAGTGGGATTTGTGCCTGGTTAGTACTTTAATGGAAGACTGCTATGGGCTTCGGCTGCCGGCGAACAGGAGATGACACGACACCATTGCTTCTGAATCCATCTGTGCGGAGCTCTTGAGTGTTAGCCCCTCCTGCGTGGATTTTCTGTTGGCGCTCCATTTTATGCCAAACAACCATAAATTAATGGAATTGGCCAAACATACAATTTAACACCATCCTGAAGTCAGTCTTTGTGATTCGCAGACTTTCCTCGATAAAGAATATACATTATTGTTCTTAAACATACATGTGTATGATCATGAAATAAAATGGGAAATCTTATTCTTAGGTTTTTTCGGTAAAGTCACGTAGGTAAAAAATTTAAATTAATATGTGACTTTATCGAAATAACCTAAGAATATGAATCCTTGCAGTCACGAAAGCTTCAAATCTAGAATTAATGGGAAATCTTTAAACTGGCACATCAAACCGTTCCCCGATGGACAGTTTGCATCAACAAGCCGTTGGTCCAAACACCACCCTGGTCCTTCCCATACAGGGAGTGTGCCTCTTGTCACAGGACATGCATTGCACTGCTTGTCTGTTTTAATAATTGTGTTATTTGTGTTGTTGCACCCTGGTTATAAACAATACCAGCACTGTATGAGTGGGTCCAAGGCCTGTGCCAAATCCTGTATGTTTCAGATAACTGACAGAGAGGCTCATTCGCTGTAATGGGCTGGGTACAACTGGCCCCACTGCTGGTTGCTTGCATCACAGCTTAGGAGATTTCTGCAAAGACATGCTCAATGCAGAATGATTCACATTTTGACTTCGTAGTTTTTTTTTTACATTGCCAGTCTTTAGTGTAAAGACTGGAAATTGTAAGACAATAAAGGCAGGTATCAAGTTTAACATTCATAAAATAAAATGACTTTTCCATGCATCATCGATTAGAAACCAGTCCAAATTGATTTAGCGTTTTATGATATTGGTGCTTAAGAAAGTGCTCTGCTTTGCTCTGAGCTAAATTAAAACAAAGATTTGTTTTTTATTCAGGAAAGGGGGGGTCCTGCATTGGCATGTTCAGAAGATTTCTAAAATAATTTTGGGAATAAACTGGAGTACCCAGATAAAATCCATGCATGAGGCGATAACAGTCAAATCTGTAAAGACATTTATTTTATACTAGCAGAAAGTACCCGGCGTTGCCCGGGTCTTAAAAATATTTCAAAACTACTCTTAAAAATGTAACAGCAGTGCGTACTGACTGGTGGTACCTGTTGTGATGACAGTAGTGCATACTGTGGTGGTACTTGCTATGATTACAGCAGTGCATACCGACTGGTGGTACCTGCTATCACTACAGTAGTAATAGGGTTTTTTACCTTTTCAACTGGTACAAAAACTGACACCTTTATACAAGGCATCATGTTTGCAATAACCACAACACAAGCAGTCAAAATGCTTTGTTTGCATTTTGACTGCAATAACCACAACACAAGCAGTCAAAATGCAAACAAAGCATTTTGACTGCTTGTGTTGTGGTTATTGCAAACATGATGCCTTGTATAAAGGTGTCAGTTTTTGTACCAGTTGAAAGGGTAAAAACCTATTACTATATTTTGCCACTGGTAAAGGAGATCTCATAGTGTAAATCATTACAGTAGTTCATGCTGACCCTATAGTAGTATTTATCGACTCTATAGCACAAAGTACTCACCTGACAGATTGGCGTGGTGAGGTCTAGTCCCGTGCAGAGCCTTCTGCCGAGGTGGCACCTTGGCAGTCTGGAGCTGAGCTGCTACCCCTGCCCCCCCTCCCCCGGCATGATGTCCCCGGCTGCTCTGTAGTAATATCTACGGCCTATAGTGGTAGCATCTACCGACTGTATAGTAGTAATAACTGCATGCATCGTGGTGGGGGGGACATGAGACAGTGAAGAATTTACCTGAGCATTTAGTGTATTTTTTGGGATTTTTAACGCGACCCTCACTTCCACGGAAGGCGTGCGACTTGGCATGGGCGGCCCACCCCACCAAAGGGCGCATGAGTTGGTATGGTCGTGCACGCGTCATAAATATAAGCAAAGTGCACAAAAATCGCTGTAAATCGCTAATTAAACTAATTTAAAGTTGACGGATGTGAAAAAGGGAATAGCGGGGCTTACGGCGTGGTGCCTGGCTATTTTTGTTTTACGTTAACCCCACCGTTGGAGAGCCAAGCGCACGACCACACACAAACCCACCATTTTTGACTTATATTTTTAGAAGATTACTGCCATCTGTCCACCCCACCTCACAGTTCAGTAGGTTAGGAGTAACTTGGAAAATTCCAAAATGTTTGTTATAAACCAACCACGCCCTCAAAATTCGAGATTACAGGCGTGCAAAGTATTTCTGAACATAAGCTCATGTCTCTATATTTGTAATGCATTGCTCTCCTAGCTGAGCCACCATGCATGTGTGTTTATATGCGATCATTACACTGCACTGCCGTAAGAGTGACCTGAGTTTGATTTTCAGGAATGCATGTCAGCGGTACATGGTATTTTAGCCTGGACTATGAATACCCTGCATTTATTGGTCTGCAATTAGTACTTGGAGCAGTGTAACAATTATGAAGGCCACATATGTTAGCTGGGCATAGTGCTGGCTAACCAAGGTTTCCACGGGCAATGCCAGGCATTGTAGGTGCAAGCTTAAACAACACTCCTCTTGTGGTCTAAACAAGAGATTTTTTTTGTTTTTTAATGCATGCGTGATGTTTATTTCATATGTACACTTTGTTCTCTTTATCCTTTGCAGTCGTGTGCATGAGCGGCCTCCCCCGCACCCTCACCGCATGCACCCCAACTATGGCCATGGCCAGCATATCCACGTGCCCCAAACCATGGCCAGCCAGGCACGGCCTCCTCCTGACCTTCTCACCTGGTAAGTGACTCTCTTAACTTCTCATCGCCATACATTCATGGCCATAAGCCAAACAGTAAAGGAAGTCGGTCCCTTTTACTGCGTGCTGTTGGTGCATGCTTGTCACATTGGTCGCATGTTCCTTAAATGCACAACACTCGTGCAAATATTATATATTCTAGTTTTTAGTGCCAATTGATGTTTAAATGCATAGTGTCCCATGGCTCGTGTTGTGTGCAAAACCTACGTTTGGCTCGCAGGCGTCTGGGTTGTGCGTTTAAAATTAATTTAGCTTTCTAACATTTTTTTCTAACCATGGACTGAAAATCTAATTATGACAATTACTGTTAACATATGGTCTACATATTGGATATGTGTTACTAGCCAGTTCCCATGAGTCAAATGTGTTTTATTGAAATGTAAATCTGGCTGGATAGAATTGGTTGAGCCCTTGACTCAATCAGATGGTTACAAATTCTAATCCCTGTCAGGGTTGACTTAGCTCAACATCCCTGAGGGAGTTATCAACCCGTCGGGGGTTAATACAGCTTTCTGGGAAGCGAGCAATGGTTGGTCCTACACATCGTGACCCGTATCATGGAAATGTGGATTTTCCTTCACTGGCTCAGGACCACCAAATGAAAAGAATGCTGAATTGTTGTTTCTATCCTGCATGGATCAACTGACTTTTGATGTGATGTGGCATAGTTTCCTGGAACACTGTTTCTCTCGCTTGCAGGGATGTTGCGGTGGAGCAGGGCAGTGCAGGGCAGGCCCCCTTCCCTCAGGGCCATCCGATGAACCCCTACCTGCAGCATCATCGCCACGGAGCACTGCGACTCCACCACTTCCCCGGCCGCCTCACCCTGCCCGTGGTATGCACTCGCATACCATGCAGGGACACGTGTGTGTGCGCCTGCTTATGTGCACATGAGGCATACATGTGTTTGCAAACGAAAATAAATGCGCTCGGTGGTAGAAGTTTAAATGTACACATTTATGATCGGAGTGAACCTGTGTGGCATGCGAATGATGTGTGCGATCGGAGCGGAGGCGATTAGAGTGGTAAAACATTGTTGCGTCGATGCATGTGATGCACCAAAACTTGTAAGTGATGGGTTGTTGCCACAATCTGTTTTAAAAAGAAGTGTGTTTTGACACTTAGCAAGGGCTCTTCGGTGCAGGTGTCAGAATTAAAAGTGTTCAATCCGTTTCCCTTTGCGCAGGCAATGCCCGACATGTCGGGCTATGCTTCTCACGTCCCGCTCATCCCCCGCAACATACAGGGATTGTTCTTCAGAGCAGAGGTATGCACCTTTCTACACGCGCCACAGTTATCCTCACGGGCCAGACATATGGTAGGATGCAAGCGCTCTTGGCCCTGCCGTGTTACAGGTGCTCACTGTGCTTCAATTGTGTACCCAAATACAGGACCTGCTGCAGCTGGAGGAGAGGCTGGGAAACGTGAATCGCGGAGCTTCCCAGAGCACCATCGAGAGGCACACCTATCCTCACAAATACAAAAAGGTGACCGTGAACAACACTATGTCCGTCAAAGGTTTAAACGATGGTCTTGACGAAATGTTCTTGCTGTGGTCCTCTGTTGCGAGGTTACATGGATGCTCAACAACTAGTTGACCAATATAAAAAGTTGACCAAGTGAAACCTGTCAAAAAAATGTTTGTTTGAGAGGAGTGTGCACAGTATAGCGTATTATGCCATTTTGGATGTTAGAATGTGTCTAATATAGCAGTCTACTAAGTAGGAAAAAACATGACCTGTAGCCCTTTAACACCCAACAAAGCTTCCATACCACTCATGTGTTTTTTTACATGTAACTTAATTATTTTAAACTTAACAACTTGGTCTGTGCACTGCATCCTGATTCGCATTCGAGTAACTGCGTAGATTTGCACTGTCTAAACTGGAAGACTAAACTCCCAGGGGTAATTTTATTTTGCGGCCTTAAAAAAAAAAGCACAGTCGTGGTTGTATTAGAAAGGCATGCAATGGAGCTGGTTCAGTTTTAACTTTGTTGTGCCTGTGGCTCTGCTGCAGAGGAAGAGTTTGGAGAAGGAAGGTGATGATGAGGGTGGAGCTGATGATGAGAATGAGGAGAAGTGCACCATCTGCTTGTCTGTTTTGGAAGAAGAGGAAGATGTCAGGTAAGGAGATGCCTTTCACTCTGATATTCCTAAAGAGGGAGGAAACCCGGTGATAACATTTGCTTATTTTATAATCTACAAAAGGAAGCATTCATAATATCGCTGTGTTTTTTAGATACACTTTTTGGCGATACTGCGTTGACAGTGGTGCACAAGCACACATAAAAAAGCTTAACAGTTCGTCAATAACACTCTGCCTTACAATGAAAAATAGATAATCGCCAATGTTTCAGCTATTGGCCCTTCATATCACGTAAAAAAAATATTAGTTGTTTTGACAGTCATTCTCATTTCTATGTTTGCTGTGCTCAATTGTATTTGCCATCAAAAGTCTAATGGGTACAATAATTAATGTGTTTTGCCATATACAACAGTTTTCCCTTTGGTTCTGTCTTCAGACAAAATGTTGGTTGGATAGTATTTATGTATGTTGAACTACTTTCGCACCGTACATAGCCAACCGTGCTAATCGGAAGTGCAGGGGAAGACGACAAACTAAACACAAAAAACTGTTGTAAATAAATTAGTTTTCAACCTGGACTATTTGAAAGTGCATAGCTCCAGTGGCTTCCTAATATGGAAAGGAAGAGTGTTCCAGACAGCCGAAGAAGTGAATTTGAAGGCGCGCAATGCAGTAACCTTTGTTCAAAAATTTTCTTGCTGTGGTTTTCACACCTGATGATGAATTCTTGTGTTGCAATCGAAACGTCGTGAGAATTTTATTGTTTTATTTTTATTATTTTATTATATCCCTTCTACGTGACTTTACGGAAAGAACCAAGAATATAAATGCAGTGACCGTCTTTGTTCGATGACTAGCCGTTGTTTTTGTATTTATCCAGCTGATAGCTGTTAATGCAGACTTTCGATAGAAACGTGTGTACCTGTGGTAAGGAGAGACGAGGCATTTTTACAGGTTTTTTTACTTGCAATTTAACGCTGTTTTCCCGTGCTCTTTCTGGCAGACGTCTCCCTTGCATGCACCTGTTTCATCAGGTGTGCGTGGACCAGTGGCTCACCACTAACAAGAAGTGTCCCATCTGCCGCGTGGACATTGAAGCTCAGCTTGCCACCGACAGCTAAAAATGGGCGCACAACTACTTGCTGCCAGTGTGTGGCTTGTAGATCCCAGAACCTTAACACTGTCAACAATTCTTCCTCATTAAACACGTGTTCGTCTCCGAAGCTCAATGCAATAATATGTTTTTATGAAGCTAGTTTGCGTCCCTCTGTTGGACCGACCGACTTTCCACAACCCGTAGCGCTGCCTCCAGTGTTTGAACGCGTCACCAGAGTGGTTGTGCTCTCCAGCAGGCCGGCGAGTCACGCCGCAGCACACGCTTTGCTCCCCCGTCCCGTGTCTGTGTGAAATTGGCAGCGTCACGAATTTCCATGGTGTGTGACGTGGAAAGGCAGTGCTTGTACCCCAAAATGTTGCTGCTACGGCCAGCAGGCGGTTAATGTTTTTAAAAGCATTAGCAGGAGCACAAAATTGCCTTTTTTGCTGCTGTTTCGAGCAAGCTTGATGTATTTAGCAAAGATTACGACCATGTGATCCTCAGGGCCCCATAGTTGGCCTGCAACTCCTCTGCATTGCCTGTCATATCGGCATCCTGTCTTTTCAGTGGTCTGCCGAAGCTCTGGCCTCATCCCTATCTCCAGCCAAGCGCGGCCAAAGATGCTGAGAACCAAACACCCATAAAGTGACTAACTGGTGATTGTAATCCATGAGCGGTGTGGCATTTATTATTGTGGCCAGTTAATGCACACGCCTCCCGAAGAGAGAGGCACACACCGCTCCAACAACCACGAGTGGCCTAGTGCTGTGGGTGTCCATGTTCATGACTCGCGTCTGCTTCTGCAAAGGCCGGTCATGCTTCTTAATCGCTCAACGCTTTTACAAAACGCACATTTTGCTCTTTTTTTCTGTCAAGCCAATGGGTGATGTTTAAAGGGGGGGCACTTCTCTGTGCAGAGTTGTGCCAACAGCAGCCAACGCTAAACTGTTCAAAGCTGTAGTTTATGTCCGTGTTTGCAGTTTTGCACAGATGCTATTTTGGTACTGTAACTGTGCTCATTTTACATAAAAGGGTTTTCAGCAACCATGCTGTTGGACTATTTGGGAATTGTTAGCCAGCTTTGTGGAAAGTGGGATTGCATGTTGGAAAAAAGTGGGGAATAAAAGGCAAGAGGAAGCAACCGTTTTTTTATTTAGTTCCCCCCCCCCCCCCACTTTTTATATATAAATGAAATGTTGCATTAAAGCTACTAACTCGCACGCTCACCCTTGGTGGTTTATTTATATAGATTCAACCTACACTAATGTCACTAAACGTTTCTTTTTGTGCAAGAGTAAACTGCATTAACTGCAAAGACCGTACGCAAGCCTTATCGATTGCATTGTATAACTGGGGTATCTGCTAATGTACGGGGCGAGTGCTGACTCGTGGAGGCAGGTGTGTATCATTTAGAGCTGTAGGTATATAGTGAGCAGATTTGTTACCTGGTTTAAGAAAAAGGCTATAACACTAAGCTGTGATTTCTAAATATTGCTTATAGTTGGAATTGAGAGTCTTATGTAAAGAGCTATATCTAATGTGTTTTGGGTTGGAAATTCACTTGGATGATCGATAATAAAGAATGTAACTGCTACGTTGTGGTTTTTCTCCTGTGTGTAATGTGGATTTTTATCAACAATTCACCAGTTCAAAAATGAAACTTCCAAGCGAGTTGAATGCAGTTCATGTTTCAAGTACTTTATATACATACGAGTACATTCATCATTTTTGTTCACAATCGTTTTTGCACGATTGTTACGCATACATACATACTACAGGAGTTCGAGGTATACGTTCGTGGCACGTTTAGCCTAAAATGTCAAACATTTCAGCTGACATTCACAAGACAGCGTTTTATAAAAGTGTACTGTTGGAATCCAAATATGTACAAACTACTGGATATAAAAATGTTCTGATGGATTTTCTTACATATGTTTCTTTCATAAGGCACAATACTTGGTGACATTTGGACGCCCGTAGATCCGTATAAGCAAACCTTTGTCGTAAAAAGTTAATTTCCTTCAATTACAAACTCTTGAACGTGTTATTTAGCATATTTTGTTTATACAGTTGAAAATGCATCAAACGTTAACCGAATCGTTTCTGCCCAGTCTCGCCTTGGAGTTGTAGCGCTCGACTGCGAATCAATGTGAGTTTGAAACCTATTTTGGAGTTGAATGGGCCAATCGGCCTTTAAGGATGAATTAGAAGTCAACAGGGGTCATATGGAGAAAAATTGGTTTGCAAAACTACAATTTGCATTTCAGCTTGTGCTCAAAATTAGGCATCTAATGACTCACAACGTCCACGCCACCCACAGCCATTTGAATTGCCATGATTTGGGATCACAATTTGAAAACTACAGATCTATAGATCTTGTTTTTTTATCGGTATTTTTTTTGTCCAGTTTAGCTTACATGTTACATTGGCATATCTTCTTGTGTTGTAGTTTTCATGCAATGCAAAAAATACTTTCTCGCACGCATTCGTTGCATTATCTGTATATGAATACATTTCTATCTGCTTGTGTATTGTTACATGCCTTCTCAAAGGCCGGTGCCATCACAACCCAGGATACAAAGGCAGACTACCATTTAATAACCGTTAACCCACATTGTGTTGAATATAGGGCCTATGCAATGTGTAGTTGAGCCATATCACAAGGACCATCTTGCTTGCTCAGTAGATGGGGAAGAGCTCCCGGCACGTCTGACGGTCTCCTCTCTTACGGTCGAGCCATTTGTTGCAGAAGAAGATGGTGCGGATGAGTGTGGATGTGTTGATGATCTCGATTCGGTCTAACAGCCACCCTGCGCTCAATCCGCTGTTGTCATGCTCGATTCGTACCTAGGGCGGCAAGGGTGATGGAAAACAAGAGTGACTCAAGCTCTTCGTACATTCGAACGGTGCTGTCTGGCCCGACCCCATCAAACGCAATACTTTATGTTTACAAGTTAAACAGGCGTGTGCTATTTTTACATTGCATACAATATCATAGGCATATCGTGATTAGGCTGTCAGGATGCGATGATTTGGGGTTGCCATTCTATTTCTTTTACATTGTGACGCGTGTAGGGCTAGTGACTGCAGGGTTGCATAAACCATTACATACAATGTGAATACAAATAATCGATTCCTGCATGCACAATGGTGTGACTAATCGATTTTAATTGAAACTGCATCAAAAAATGTACAGGTAACACTTCTGAACGAGGCCCCCCCACGCCCATATGCCTTGTAGGACATGGGGGAGGTCGGTGTGGGTTTGTGAAGGCTGTGAGCACACGTGGAAGCATAGAAAGTACCGTACAGTGGGTGTTCTGGACTCGTCTGCAGCCCACCACGTAAAACCACAGCGCTATACAACAGCCTGACGTGCATGATCGTGGTTGCCCATCTAAGCACTTTCCAAGCTCATCCCCTGCAAAGCTGCTGAGATGGGATGCATTCTGGATGATTTGCTAATAGGCCCATCGTCGTATGCCTTGCAACATATACTGCCTACTTCAAGTGCTTATTGATGGCTTGTCTAAATATGATGTCGGCATGGGATTGAACAGGTGGAAGTTAAAACGTGTCCGTATGAAATATGAGCTTTGGGTTACTGTACCAGTGTTTTCACATACAAAGTGCACGTCTGCACTGGTTGCCATTACTACCATCGGGAATAGTGTGCTCTATAAAAAGCACACCTGAGCAAGTGCATGGCAAATGGTCATTGGACAAGAGTAATGTGCTTTGTGTGCAAGTAGGATTGGGTAAGCATTGGTATGTATGAATGCATTCTGGTTAAGACACTGCTTACAGGATCTATTGGTGTGGCACTTATTCTCCATACACAACGACCAATTTAAAATGTAAAATAACTCGCATGCATAACATGATTCCATTCTATTTTGTGTCAAACACATTTTAAAATTCAATCCACTTTGCCCAATGTGTCGTTTAATCCCGAAATCAACGGTAAGCCAAATGAAGGACAAGGTTATGGCACGATTTCTGCCTGGTATTATACAAGAAAAAGCAATTAACGCCGCTAATGTTTAAGTGATGATATATTGGAAATTATTCAGGCGTCTGCTGTGACTTAGCGGTGGGATTTCAAATCTAATAGCAGCTTATGTGTGCTAGAAAAATGTTACCATCTTCTCTGAGCTGTAGTGAAAGCAGGAAAATGCCATATGGTCATTTCCTGACTTATCTTGATCATGATGCACGACCAAATATTCGGTCAAGTGCGAGCTTTCCACCATTGATATAGTATGCAGGGACGAGTGTTTAACGTGAGCTTACCACGAGTAATATGCCTCCAGAGTGCAGTATTGTGGATATTGCCGCCCCGCAGCAATTAGGAAAATTCACACTTATAGGTTTTTACCACATACTCCGCTGCAGCACAGCAAATGGGAAATGTGTCTCATGATACATTTATAGTGCGTTGTGTATAGTGTGTTTTGAAAATCCCAACGGGCCTTTTTTTGGGTCTCTGAAAGTGCTTGAACAAGCAATGGAATTACTCTTTGGTTCTTTCGGTAAGCAATGGAATGGCACTCATCTCAGTGGCAGCCCTGAGCCAGTCGATAAAAAAACACAAACCCATATAAGGGGCACCAGTATTTCCAGTGAGATGTGTTGACATACTGCCACGTTGGTTTTTGCGGTTGTGCCGTGTAGCTTGACAATGGGTTTTTGGAGTTGGAATGTGTGTTGTTTGGGATGATGCTTGACGTTTAATTCCAGTTCATCCATCATACCAAACAACACGACTTGATAAATCATCTAGCTGTACTTAATTTATTGGCCCAAAATAAATGATGGGCTGCATTTATGCTCAACTGGGATTTAAACTTGCAATCTTATGAATGTAAGTCATTCAAAGCAATATGCCTTCTAGCCAGATATTACTACACAGCATATATGTGTGATAAGCAGCTAATCTGTATGTCTGGAAAACTCCTCGACTTCAATTTTAGTGAATGAGATGTCATACGAAAGTGTATGCAGTTTAAAAGAATGAGGCTTAAATTCCTCCCAAAAATTGGCATTCGTCCACATTATTCTGCTTAATAGCCCTGGTGCTGCGTATCTGCTATAACAGTCTGTGTACCATAGTCTCGTTTTAAAATCATACAACGGGGCTGAGCTGATGATGATCAATAGGTTTCCAACGTCTGCAATATCAGGGTCTAACCTACATACACGTGTGTCCGGAGAACTAGACCGTTCATACAATTGCAATGAATGAGGAGTAACTTGAAAGCGTATGATTAGTAGTTTATCCAAACTAGGTCAACATTACAAAAATATTTCACCTTTGAACAGATAAATATGCCCATCGCCTCCAGTGTTGATTTACCACTTTACCATATACAATAGCCCCAGTGTGCAATGCGAGCCGCAATTTCAAAATGATATGTTGGATAGGCATACTTTTGTCCATATCTTTGCAACTATTACATTTGCCTCACTCATCTACTTTTTAACATGCTAAATATTGAGTTATTGTGATATAACAATTGTTATAGTGTAATTGCGCAATTTTAGTTGATCAAATTCATAAAAATTGCCGTGGGGTGAATGGACGTTCTAAAAGTAATTTATTTTCATCTCAATGGGGTGCCCCCTAGTCAAATATTTTTCTTTCAAATCTACTGTCAGATTTTCATAAATAAAAACATTGTCTCAGTGTCTGCGTTCGTGAAACGAACAGCTTTTCATTATCAGTACGAATGCAATTTTGAGTATGCGCCTAAATTATATATTTATTATTCACAATGTCCAGCGGCATGGCGCTGTGACGCAATCATTACGGCTCCAAGTGAGGAGGACGCAAGTTAAAATCCTGTTTGGGGGGCTACTCGGCCCATCGTCTCTAAAGTCAATATAATGAGTACCACTTTGTAGGAAATTAACTTGATTGTCCCCTGGAGAATGTGGAATTTCCAACACTGGCCGAGGGCTGCCAATGGGCGGGGGGGGGGCACTGCCCCCAAATTTTAATCACTTTAACTAAAACTTGAAAATCACATGTGAAAATGAAAAGAATGAAAGCCTGAAATGGCCATTTTATTTGACTACACTGTAGTTTTCTCATTCTAACAAAAGATGTAATTGGTGCCGAGGCAGATCTGTAACCTAACAACCCTAACCATAACGGGGTTCATCACCCTATTACAATAAGAATCTGATGGATTAATAAGTCACCTTTTGCTTCGTCGAGCAATCCTTCATGCGCGTCCTCTTTATGGAATGGCTTCGGTGGGATTTTGTATTCTTGGAATTTGAGGATTATGTCGGCTCTAGTATACATTACTCTGGTTGGGTGGCACTGCAGTTAGCCGAATTCAAATCCCCGTCGGGGGACGACTTAGAGCCAGCCCATCATCCTTGCAATGACTATGAAACACTAAAATATGTACCACATTATGAAAGTCAACAGCGCTAAAACTATGGAGTTGTTTTCATTTATTTTATTTTTTACCTACGTGACTTTACCGGAAAAAAACAAAAGAGTATGAATCCTTGCAGTCACGAAAGCTTCAAATCTAGAATTATGGAGAGATTGTTCCCCAAATCCCAACCATCATGCAATTC